ACCAACATAGGCAGTAGTGAAGAGATGCGATGCTGTAACGGTAGATGGAAGTGTTAGGGGACGGGGTAGGCCTAGATTAACGTTGACTAGCGTTATAAATAGTGATATGAATCTACTTAATTTGACTAATGAAATGGCCTTTTATAGGGCCGCGTGGAGAAGAAGGATTCATGTAGCCGACCCCATTTGATGGGACTTAAGGCTTCGTTTGGTTTGGTTTGGTCACTCATCTATCTTTCATTATATTTTTTCACAATATTGTATTGAAGGTCATCAGCCAAAGCTGGGTTTGGTTGGAACAGGTTTGTCATTGATTTATTGATTGAAAAGGAATTACATAATAAAATGTTGATCTAGAACCAGGTTCCTCCTTCCCGTTCTCTTAGTAGCATCATAATAGTGCTATTATTTATCTTGCTTGCTTGTGTTTGTTTTTATTTGCTTGTGTTTGTATTGTTTCTTTGTTTCTATTACATCTATACTTCAGTAATTACATTTTGGGGAGTACATAACAATACAGGCTAAACTAACCTAATTTTTTCTGTATATATGGGCGACATCCTTTTTGATTTGTCAACTTTAAGTGGACTTTGGTCTCCTCTTTCTCCTTAACTTTATAGTTTGCTAGAGGTTTTTCTACAGGTTGCCTAGTTTTGTATCTTTTGTTAAGTAGCCAATTTAGAATTAATGCAATGTAAAATAATTTTAAAAGATTTTTGTCTTTGTCTTGAAAATCATTTCAGAAGATGGTAAACTGAAGGCTGAAGAAAAAAAGTTTATAGTGCTACACAGGTCCAGAGTTCGTTAAAAATATGTCTGAGAATAATTTCTTCAGTTATCGTCATGACTAAAATTTTGGTATCAAGATATGTCTATGCCAGCAGAGTCACATTTGAGAGATGTTTGGATGACAGGGAACTAACTAGCAATTAAACACAAAAATGATAACATAGGATATGTCCTCATCAATCGAATAAATAATAGCATTTATCCAAGATATTAATGTATGCTTACATGGGCTTCAATAATTGTGGATAAAGTTTTTGCTCGTTTCAACAATCCAAGTTCAATGCGATTCCTTTTCACAGTATCGCACAGACTTGATATCTCAACTCCAAGAGAATAAAGTTTTCTCTGCAGGATAGAAATAAACTAGCTTGATTAATGAAACAAGAAAAATAAGGGGTGAGGGTTAAATGGCATGTTTCCACAATTGAAACAAAAAGCATAATAGTTTCGTTATCAGTGAAGTGAACTATTATACAGCACATGTGATATGACGCAAAGATGTTGAACAAAACTAGTGAAAGTTTCATGTATTGGGTGCTAATTCATAATCCAGATAACCAAATAATCAGCCAAAACTAAACTAATCTAACCTTTTCTGTTCTATGCTGAAATGAATGAGGGAGTGTTAATATAATTTACAGCCGCCACTAAGAGGTCATTGGTTAATGAGTAATATGTACTAGCACTTTGAGGTTCTCAAGGGGTGCCTGCCTTAAACAAAATCCATGAATAAATAGGGATGCAACAAGCCAACAAACCTCAGTTTCCCATCTCTGGGCATGAATGAAGGCCTCTGCCTTTGCATTTGCAAATCTCCACTGCAGATGATGGTTATGAAGCAATTTCAGAGTATGCACTTCTTCTTGATGACTTAAAACCTTCCTTCCCCTCCTTGAATCTGCTGCTCATAATAGTGAATGCTAAACTGTGGATTGGACATGGGAAAAGTTATAGCAATACTTATCTGCTTCTGTTGATTACTGTTAAATTTTTTTGATAAATTGTGGTGTCTTACATCTCTATAAATTGTTGAATGTTACGATTGTATTTAGTCCTAACCATGCATGTTATTGCCTTCTGTTTGAAACATGCGTTGTAATAATATTTTAGTCCTAGTTTCTTGTAATTTATGTTACCATAGGCAAATATACATGTTTACTGTACTATTTGCATAGCTAAGACAGTATAGAAATAAACAATTTGTTGCTAGTCAAAAAAATGTAGGTCTTGTTTGGTTGTGTGGAGGTTTGTGTAAGTGAGTTCACTCTAGGACATACTCCAATTTACATCCATCACATTGTTGTGATTGCCAAGAGAATTGAGTACCATGCCATATAACTCTATTGAAGTGGGCTTTACATTTGCAAATAAACAAAGAGTGAAAAGATGACTTATTGAAATATTAATGGAGAAATTATATTCCTTTAGGTGATGGGTAAAGTGTCATTGTCTCTTCCAATCGTGCTCTTGTTACCTTGAATTAGTGTTTATTTTTGTTTTGCTCATGATTATGCTTATCATTTGCAGGTGGAAAGCGTCTTGTTCCAGTGGGTCTTGGAGATGATGATCAATGCATGGAAGATGACTTTGCTGCATGGTATTAAGAACATGAATCATTACCTGGAACTCAGCATATATATTTTTGCAACTCCTTTAAGATATGTAGAAATAAAAGCTTAGTTACTGTTGCTAATGTAGGCGGGAGTTACTTTGGCCCGAGTTAGATCAGTTGCTTAAGGATGATGACAGTTCAACTGTTGCAACTCCTTGCACTGCTGCTGTGTTGGAATATCGTGTGGTATATCATGACAGCACAGATGCATCAATATTGGACAAGAGCATGAGTATGTCAAATGGTCATGCTGTTCATGATGCACAACATCCATGCACGTACCAAAAGAATGTTTTAAATCCTGAATTTTTCTGTTGCCAGTTAATTATATGCTTTTGTTTCTGTAACCTAACAAATATTTTATCTTGGAATTAAGGTCTAATGTGGCTGTGAAAAAGGAGCTTCATACTGCTGCCTCTGATCGATCTTGCACCCATCTGGAATTTGACATTGCTGGAACTGGACTTGTGTAAGTTGCAATTCTAATTCACTTAATTATGGATGTATATTTGGAATAAGGTGATGACAAATTCTGTCGACTTACTACTATTATTTATTTTTGGTAAGCAAATTGTCAACTGGATTTTGCTTTAGCTTTAAATGGAAAATTTCTGCTCTTTAAATTTAAAACAAATTGGATTAGAAAAAGCATGCATTTAATGATGAATCAACTTTGTTCATTTATCTTTCTTCACTTCCTTTGTCCACAAATATGAAACTGGGGATCATGTCGGCGTGTACAGTGAGAATGTGATTGACATTGTGAAGGAAGCTGAAAGGTTAATGGATTTATCACCAGATACATATTTCTCCATTCACACCGATAAAGAGGATGGCACTCCACTTGGTGGTAGCTCATTGCTGCCTCCTTTCCCTGCATGTACCATAAGAATGGCACTGACTCGATATGCGGATCTTTTGAGCTTTCCGAAGAAGGTAGGGCCATTGTTTGTTTAGTTATGTGTTGCTCATAATATTATATATGTGAACTCTCATTAACTAATTTGTTAAATGTATGTGTTTTCCAGTCTGCATTACTTGCCCTGGCAGCTCATGCTTCTAATCCAAGTGAAGCCGAGCGACTGAGGCATCTTGCATCTCTTGCTGGAAAGGTTTGCAATTTTTTGGTTTAGAGTTTTCATAATAAAGTGGTTCATCCATCATAGTTTTTAACGCTATCTTTCCTATCTACAGGATGAATATGCACAATGGGTAGTTGCAAGTCAACGAAGCCTTCTTGAGATTGTGGCAGAATTCTTATCAGCCAGGCCTCCACTTGGTGTTTTCTTCGCATCAGTTGCCCCGCGCTTGCAGCCTAGATATTACTCAATTTCATCCTCCTCAAGGTGAATAATACCACAACCTAGATATTATATCACAACACTTGTTATTCAACTACATGATACCAGAACAACAACCTATTTTGTGTATATTCTAAATAAACATGAGTTGATTGGCTTATCAGATATAAATTTAAAGTCAGTTTCATTTTCTATGTTCTACCTTTCTAGAGCAGGGAGGTAGTCTTGTGGAGTAACTTCTATTTGCCTTCCTCTTTCCTCTACATAGACTGATAATTAGGACATAAGATGTAAAGGGGATTTCTACTTATTTGTGTTTTCTTTTCCTTTTTGAGTCAATTCTTTATTGGTCTGGTACCCTTTGCAAATTACAAATTATAAGAAGCAAAAATTCTTTATTGGTCGGATTCAAGATGTGTTTTTTCAGCTAATCAGTTCGAAAACTGTCTCTCAGAATCTCCAAATACTTCTTGCCTGGAATGTCTCTCAGAATCTCCAAATACTTCTCAGGCTTCATTATCTGCTCTATGCTATTGCTTTTATAAATACTTATTTCTAACAACTTATGTAATTGGGCAGATACACCTCAGGTGTTATCTCATGTCTCATTTTATTTTGGTAATTGACAATGGGAGGTGCATTGAGCACGGGTGATGCACCCAAAGATAATATAACAGAGACAAAGTTGATCTCTTTTGAGGCATGTGGTATGTATGACGTAGTTGATCTCTCATTGTCACCAACTTTTGAATGATGTAGCTGCAGGACTGTGTTATGACTGCCCTGGAGAAGAAGACTGTCATTTTAGTGACTTATCAAGTGGAATTTCTCTCCCAAGTTAACAAAATTCTAGTAATGAAATACTTTGAATTGCCACTCTTGTATTTACATACTAGCTTTCAATTCATTGCATAGAATAAATTGTTTTTTTTCCCTAGGTTATAGAAGGTGGAGAAATTACTCAATCCGGAAGCTATAAAGAACTGTTGATGATCGGTACAACATTTGAACAGCTTGTGAATGCTCACAAAAGTTCAATTCCAGTCTTGGATTCTACAATTAATCAAAATAAAAGTGAAATTCAGTCACAATACATGGATAGAATGGAAGAGACTAGAGGGTCCTACCTTACTAAAGAAAATAGTGAGGGGGATATTTCTGTCAAAGGTCTGCCAGGAATACAACTGACAGAAGAAGAAGAGAAGGAAATTGGCAATGTTGGATGGAAGCCATTTTTGGATTACATCTTCGTCTCAAAGGGATCGTTGATGCTTTCTTCAGTTATAATTACTCAGATTGGTTTTGTTGCTCTTCAAGCTGTTTCAAGTTATTGGCTAGCTTTCGGCATTCAAATTCCTAAAATTAGTAGTGGCATCTTAATTGGAGTATACACTATAATTTCGACAATAAGTACCTTCTTTGTATATCTAAGGTCTTTATCCGCTGCTTTTCTAGTATTAAAAGCTTCCAAGGCTTTCTTTTCAGATTTCACTAATTCTATTTTCAATGCTCCTATACTTTTCTTTGATTCCACCCCAGTTGAACGAATTTTGACCCGAGTAAGATTTTATTCTTCTTCAATCAATTCTAAAGTAACCATAGTATTTATGTATCGTATTGCTTAGCTAGTTACTGATATGCACTTTTATATACCTGCTTGTTATATGTAGGTTTCATCAGATTTATGTGTGGTGGATTTCGACATACCTTTCTCATTTGCCTCTGTGGTTGCTCCTTTAATTGAATCGGTAGCAATCATTGGCATTATGGCGTCAGTCACGTGGCAAGTTCTCTTTGTAGCATTCTTTGCTACAGTGGCTTCAAAATATGTTCAAGTGAGTTTCATTTTCCAACTTAATAGTAATATTTTTCTTATTTTCATCGAGGAAAGGAAAATTTTAATTAAGAAAATTCTTTATTGACTCAAGGGATATTATCAAGCCTCTACAAGGGAACTAATGAGAATCAATGGAACAACAAAAGCTCCTGTCATGAATTATGCAGCCGAGACCTCACTTGGAGTGGTAACTATAAGAGCATTTAACATGGCAAACAGGTTCTTCCAAAGCTACCTAAAGCTTGTAGACAATGATGCAAAACTTTTCTTTTACTTCAATGCAACCATGGAGTGGTTAATTTTGAAAGTAGAAGCACTTCAAAATCTTACTTTATTCACTGCAGTTTTTCACTTGGTTTTACTTCCCAAGGGTTATGTTGATCCAGGTATATCCATGGTTCAGTGGAATAATTCATTTATTGCTTAGAAATTTTCTTTTAGATTCTTAAAACATGTTTATTTTTGCAGGGCTTGTTTGACTTTCTCTTTCTTATGCTTTGGCTTTGACAAGCACCCAAGTGTTCATGATTCAATGGTATAGCAGCTTGGCTAATTATGTTATTTCAGTGGAACGAATCAAACAGTTTATGCATATACCTCCAGAGCCTCCAGCAATTGTGAAAGATAGAAGGCCACCATCTTGATGGCCTTCTGAAGGGAGGATAGAGTTACAGGATCTAAGGGTAAGGGAACTTATTATTGCTTCCACCTGTTTATATAGATGATATTCAAGCAAATTCATGAAAAAACATTTAATTAATCTTGTGAGTGGCTACTGGCTAGAAGTTTTTGGGCTAAGGAACCAATGAAATTTCATGCGTTTCAACAATCTAAAAACATATAAATCCTTTCATATGGATTGGGGTGTTGATCTTCTTTAAACAAACTTTCCTGTTCCTCTCTTCATTTTCTTTAATGTATATTGTTCGAGTTGCTCAGTCTTGTCTAATTGTTGCAGAGGAGATGGACTGAGATAGAAATGGAATGGTGAACTTCAAGGAATTTCTCTTTGCTTTCACTCGTTGGGTTGGTATTGATGATATCGAGGCTGACGAAGAAGGGAAAGTAAAAAAGAGGTGCAGAGAATGTCTGAATTCAAAATTTTAAGGCATTGTTAACTGTCTATCAACAGTGATTATGACCTGCACAGCTTAAGCTTCTCAGATCTGTCAAAACAGCAACAAGTTGAATATATAAACATGCAGGATCAAATCACAATTCTTCCCTAAAGTTTGTATTGTAAATAGTCTTAAATTGAATGGTGATTGGATATGAAATTGAATTAATGGTGATTGGATATTAAATTGAATGGAAAAGTGAATTAATATTGTATTTTGAATGGGAATTGTTATTTCATATTAGTGTTATTTTTCAGTTTTATTGCAGGTATTTTTTTAATTCAATCACATAAAATTAGCATAATTTAAAAAAAAAAAAAAAAGGAGCCTATCGCGGCGTTTTTAAAAACGTCTCTAAATATCAAACCAACGGTTAGATTTTTTTAAAAAGAGATACGACGGCGTTTTAAAAACGTCACTAAATAGTATGATGATGTCATGTTACTGCTAGGAGAACTTTTAGCGGCGTTTTAAAAACGCCGCCTATAGTGATATAGCGACGTTTCTAAAGCGTCATAAAGTTATAGCGACGGCCGCATCTTCGACGTTTGGTGCTAAACGCCACAAAATGATTTGATGGCGTTTTTAGGACCTATAGCGGCGTTTTTTAAACGCCTCTAAAGCCCCTATTTCTAGCAGTGTATGCTACATAGCACCTTATTTGCCTGTGGTTGGCTTTTACTCCGCGATCTCGATTATATTATTCAAATATTTTTGCATATATATATATATGTATATATAAATGTATAACAATAAGTTTATCCAAATATTAACATGTTTGCATCTATTTCTCATTTTTTTGTCTTATAGTTATCAATCATTAATCATATTTTTTGTGTATCTTGTAAGATCCTTCCTTCCCCAGTAATTATTGTTGACACCACTTTCAGATCTTTGTCCATGGTTGATTAATTATTTGTTAATTATTCTCTCATTTGTCAGTACTTTTGTAGATTTATTTGGCATTTTCAAGTATTTCAATAGGCTCATAGCATCCATTAAGGTTGATCAGTTAATTAGATCTTTCCACTGTATCTTCTATTGGTTAATGTGTTTCTTCGTAAAGGTAAGTTTAAAACATGACAATTTCAGGTACTTGCATTGGCCACTCATAACATTCTGACAATGTTGGTTTAGAGTTGACATAACTTATTATATCTTTACTTCTACTGCCATTGCCTTTGTAGCGCAGTAGCAAAATACAACTAAATTTTATGGCAGTTTCTATTTGCGATCTATGGATCTATTTCTAAATTTTACGGATTCATCATAACATTCTTTAGTATCACTCATTCATTCTAATGCTATATTTCGGTTTGCGAATTATCATCACCTACTGCTACTCGTACCATTTCCCTAATATTTCTGCTTATTACTGTCTAATCATCATTTAGTGATGGCCTTTTTGCTCAACAAGTGATAGTTGAAATCCAATAGATGAAAATGGATGGATACTTGTGGAATCATAATCAACATCCATATAAATACTTCAAGAATTGCAGTTAACCCGGGCTCCCCTTATTTTGTTTCCTTTACATTAGAGAAATTTAGATTATGTTCTTTCTTATACCAAGTCATTCTGAATATTTTATTTCTTATATGTTTTTGAAATAAATTTGGTGTAGTTATTGCTTTGAAAGTAGAGAATAATTGTAAAAGAAAATGACACTGCAAGTTTGGAACTTACAATTCGTGGTTTTGAACCATAGGTGAGCTCGATTGGAGTCACTGGTGCTCGTGTATCTGTTAGTGGAAAGGTTCAAACTCTTCTACAGGATATTAAACAGGTTTGTCTTCTATAGCATCGCATACCAAACCTTAAAATGTAATAGAACTATCTTGTATCTCAGTATGAAAAAGGTATGGTGTCCTTTTAAAGACACGACACAGTCATGCCATTAGGTAGATTAAGACCAATTGCAACTGTTTAACTTATGTTTCATGCTATTCACACTTGTTTGGGTGAGCAACTGAAGTATGTGGTGCAGACATGGATAGACTTGCCCTTTCATCCCAACTTATCGGAATTGCTGCATTTTTCGGGCCTTGATACAACATTTGGATAGGCTTTCAAATAATGTGAAATTGTAATGAGATGCTTAGTATTGCGTAATGCCTAGTATCATGATTTTAGTCTTGATCACGTGTTAATTCCACTTTGTCTGGAATGGCATTTGAATGTCTGACTTGTAGACTAGTCCTATTTAGAGCCATAGATTTATGATGTGATTGGTTTCTATTGTGTTTTGGTGCTTTTTGACAGGCAACAAGTAAGCCTGTAGCAGTTGGCTTTGGCATATCAAAACCCGAGCATGTGAAGCAGGTTTCTCACAACACGAACCTCTTTGTCACCATGGATTGTGTAGAGTTTACCAAAACCCGAAAATGCTTAATGTAGAGTTTACCAATCAACCTTGATTGTGTTTGTTACAGATGGCAGGATGGGGAGCTGACGGTGTGATTGTTGGTAGTGCCATGGTGAAACTACTGAGTGAGGCAAAATCCCCCGAAGAAGGGCTGAAAGAATTAGAAATCTTCACTAAATTGTTGAAATCTGCACTGCCTTGGCGGCTAGTTCTGCCATTTCAGAGCCAATTTTGTATCTTTAGCATCACATCTTTTTAGACTTTCAAAATCATCCGAATTTTGAGTTTTTGTACAAATTGGATTCAAGCTTTTGACAATGCTTCATTTTAAATTGAAATAATTCCATCAATGGAAACATTAACTTCAGTATATGCTCAATTACTATAATTGAAAGATTAATTTGAAAGAGAAGCTAGAGAGCAAAGAGTGTTTCTGTATTGTGTGTTATATCATTACAAGAGAAATGAACTCTCTCTTTATAGAGAGAAGAAATGTACATTGGATACCAATCCATTACCACCGAAAGCAGACAGAAAGCCAGCTATACAATTAGCAAGAAAGCTAGACAGCTATACAATTAACAAATTAACAATATTATATTAACAGCCCCCTGCAAACTCAAGGAGGGAAAGCATCTACCAAGTTGAGTTTGGAAACAAGATCAGTAAAGCGGCCAGGAGGATGAGCCTTAGTGAAGATATCAGCGGGTTGATCGACTGAAGCAATAGGAAGAAGATGAACAGTTCCACAAGTAACATGCTGGCGAATGAAATGACAATCAATCTCAATATGTTTGGTGCGATCATGAAAAACATCATTGTGAGCAATCTGAATAGCACTCCGATTGTCACAGTAGAGAGGAGTAGGAGCAGATGAAGAAACACCCATATCAGCAAGGAGCCAGCGAAGCCAGAGAAGTTCCTGAGTAGTATCAGCAAGAGCTCGGTATTCAGCTTCGGTGCTAGAGCGGGCAGTGAGAGATTGTTTTTTGCTACGCCAAGCAAGAAGAGAATCCCCTAAGAAGAAACAGAAGCCCG